TGTTATGTAACTTGCCTTCTCCACAATTTATTTAAAACACCTTTTTATGACATTAAATATTCCTCTATCCCTCCCTGGTATTTTTATTGTATGGTTGTATACTACAATTATTACCTTCTAAAAATTACTATTATCATAATATGCGATGAACACCTTGGCTCAATTTGTGTACCCATCCATGGCAACTGTCTTTGAGTAACTGTTCTAGAAATGGAATTTCTGAGTCAAAAGTTGTGTGTATTTTTGAGGCTTTGATACACATTGTTTAAATTCCCTTGAGAAATGTGTTCTTTCACTGTGTCTGAGAGATCCTAATAGTCTCTTTCCTACCTTCGCCGAGTACATTTTACAAATCCTCATCAATAGTATAGGTAGAAAATGCCACCTCATTGTTTTAATTTGCATTTCTTTGATAACTGCTGAGGTTGAACATTTTCTTATATGTCATTTACTGATTATACTTCATTTATTGGTTTTATCTTTCTATTCTTTACCCCTTTTCTATTATAGTGATCATCTTTATCTTATTAATTTGTAAGAACTCTTACTAAATTAGCTAAGTTAACTCTCTGTCGTACATGTTGGAAATACTGCCCTGGTGTGTCTTTTGTCTTTAGAGTAGTTCAGACCGCCTTTTGGTGGAAAGAAATTTTGAGGTTATAGTCAAATACATTCTCTTCCTTTATCATTTCTGCCACTAGAAATTAATAAGGCCTTTCTTATTCCAAGATCATTTAATTTTTATTTGCATTTTCTTCCATGTCACTAGTTTTTGATGTGTGAAATATTTCTTCCAAGTCTGTCACAAGGGGGACTTGGCCACTGCCTGCAGAAAAACGAGAGTGGAGACTCCTTGAATATAGATGAGTCATTTGGTGAAACCTTCAAGAGGGTCCTAGAGAGGGGAAGAGAGAGATCTATGTTTATTATTCACCAATTCCCTACATTGCATCCAGTAGCTCTCTCAACTTGCTCTTCAAGTGAAAGAAGTTTAAAATGGCAAAAGTTTTAATGTTAGGTGTATGTTTAAAACTCTGAAATAAGATGACTCTCCTTACCTTGGCCAAAATAGAAGCTTTGGATGACAAAGACCTTTATTTTTTGTTCACTGATGTCCTACAAGTGCAGTGTGTGGTACACAGTACGCACTTGGTAAGTGTGTGTTGGAGAAGCTGATGTTTAATCAAGTAGAATCATGTGTATGCCAGGTGGAGAGCCAGGGGTAATGAGTTTGGAACTTCACTGCTTCATATTAAGGAGGTGCCAAGTAAGAAAAACTCTAAATGAAGGCAGAAACTAAATTTCAGTTTTACTCTTTAGTTGACTGTAGAGATACTGATCTGAGTGTAAAGGTGAAACTGCCTCAAACCTGGCACAGTAAAATATTCAGAGAAAAAATTTTGCTGGGTAGATATTAAGCAAAACAGTAGCATCCACCCACCAAGAGAAATAAGAGACATGGCTCTACTTCATTTGATGCTATGTCATTTGTCCAGAGCAACAGCAATCAGATTTGGCTTTATTTGAACATAAGAAGGAAGAAACAATTCTCAAGAAGGTTCCTTTTCACTGTGGGGAGGAGGGGAGCATTCTCTATAATAATGGAAAAATCGAGGATTTTTCCATCAGATGGAGTGTCCTCATAAATTCAAGGCAGACAACAGCATGTGATATGCCTTCATGAAAATGATGACCACAAGGGAAAGAGTTTACGATCGTAATTCCAAGGTTGCTGCTAGGAAGAGGGAGCTTTCAAGAGCGGAACACCATTCCTGTGAGTGTGGCTCTGTGAACTTACAAGATGGTGTGTACCGAATATACATCCTCCTGCCCACCTGGCTTCTACAAAATCCCATCCTGTCCAACTTGCCTCCAGTTTGGCTATGATTTTTAAGTAACACACTAAAATCCTTTCTTTACAGCATGATAATAGATAAATAACACAGATGTAAAACATGAACCCTTCTTACTAGCAATAATTTGTGTCATATAATCTATCTTTATACATATCAACAAGAGAATGCCTGAGAAAGTAGAGAGGACAAAAACTTTTGACAAAATTTAAAGTTAAATCCTGATTATAAAGTTTTGGATCAACATAAAGATTGGAAAGTCAGCACTTGCAAAAAGATCTAAGGAGAGTATGGAAACTGCAAAGATGGGTCTCCAAGTGTGCACGAGAGCCAGGGAGAAGGAGAACCCTGGGGAAACCTGTGCACCCACAATCTCTTTAACATGCAAGGCTAGAACATAAAGCCCCAAATGAACAACTATTCAAGCCTGTTTATAATACTAAAAAGGTGAATAAATGTGAGGATATCTGCTCTGTAGAAATCTTATTTATATACAAATGCACCAGTGTGCTAGCTGTCTGAGGCCCAGAACTGCACCCCTTCCTGGTGTGACCCCAAACTCTACCACAGATAGAGGTTCAAGAATATGAGGAATGAAGCCCCTACTTGGTGGACAGCAGTTCACTGACTATCAGGTTAGCCTGGTTAAATTGGTCAAACAGTCAATCCCTTGGTGCCACGGGGGTCATTCGGTTGTTTTCTAGAGATGTCATCTCTAAATAACCCCAAAGAGAGATGTCAGTGCCTCACTGCAATCAGAATCGCCCCATTGCTTCACAGGAATCACACCGGACTCTAGAATACTGTGCCACCCTGCATCTTGACACCTCCCCAGTTAAAGTGTCCCATAGTGAGCTGGGGCTCGGGAAGGAAGGAGCGTTATGACAGCGTTATGTCCAAGGAAGTGGAAAGTGCACAATTCAAAAGTCTCCAACTTTCTAGGAACAAATCTACTTAGAAAATCAACCACACCCACAAAAATATTTCCAATATTCTAACTTACATGTCCTAATTGATGAGATGATTGTCTGGTTTTATTTACACGGAGATCTATTTCTTCCCCAGAGGGTGATCTATTCTTTGTCTTATGCCAAGAAAACAATAAGAAAAATGCTGACCTATGAAGGTTACACATCATGCTTAATCACTACTTTAAATTAAAATAACATAAAATAAAGCACTCATTGGGCCACGTAGGCAAAACATACCTTCCCAAGCAACAGACACACCTACTGAGACACTTGAAATGTCTGCGGAGTCTGGTTCCCAGGTGCGTATCAAGAGCCAAACCCTGACATCAGGTCTTGAGTTGCCCTGGAGAAACTCAGGGCTGGGTTGTCATAGCAAACTGTGCCTGCCAATCAGATTTCACAACGTGAAGAGTTGTCTTCACGTTTCAGGACACCAAACTCTAACTAATAGACGCCAAGGTTTGCAATGACCACAGCGATGCAACTCCTCTCTTCCCCACCCTCCAGTCATGACCTTGGGGTGGAATACCTCTGTACTTTTCCAGTATTCCAGAAGCTCACAAAGACTCTCAAAGACTGCTTAAAGCTACGTATTTAAGCCAGTGGTGGGTGTGGGAGGGGGTGGTCAGAACAAGGTTTCCTTCTCTTGGCCAAATGAAAATCTCTCAAAAACAATTGCTTATTATTTTCTGGTCTCTTCCAGTGGGGGTAAAGCAGACACCCTGAGAAGGTCAGACAAATGGCCATCAGAAAAATCATCACTGGGAAGGGGTTCTTAGTAAAAGACTCTCAACAAACTAAATGGGTTTTCTTAAAGCCTAGGGATTCCATAATACTTTTTGAAGACACACACTGTCTCAAAGCGCTAACTCCACCACAACCCATAGCTAATGTGGTAATTTACCTCTTCTTGTAGGCCTCCGGAAATGTCTCTCCCTTGTATTAGATCCTTCAGTGGCTCTCAGAATTGGACACTTACCTCGTTCTCTGGGCTCATATTTACCACCTTACCCCAGTGCAGTGGTTCTCAGCCAGGGGTATTTTTGTTCCCTTAAGGGACACTGGCCAATGTGGGGGAAAGTTTTTGGTTGTCAGGACTGAAGTGGGGGAAAGGGGATGCTACTGAACATCCTTCAGTGTGGAAGACAGCCTCTCACTACAAAGAATTACTCAGCTCAAATTGTTAACAGTGTTGAGATATCCTGCTGTACCAAGTTCTTTGTTCTCTAAACATGCCAGACTTTCTCATATGCTTTGTGCCTAAACATAGCCTGTTTCCTTTACCTGGAATGCCCTGCCCTACTTCTGTGTCTAAGAAATGACCATTTATCATTCAGGATCTGACTCAAAATATCACCTCCTCTACAGTCCTTTCCATATCTCCCAAAGTTGGCTGTTCCTTCTGTGCTTCCGGAGTTTCTGGTACATATCTCATTAAAACACTAGCCATACTACCCCTAAGCCTGTCACCTGCTGCAGACAAAACCTAAGGCTCGTTCATTGTTCATCCTTGAGTGCCCATCTGGTAATCAATTGCTACTTGCTGAGTCAATCAAGGAATAAATGGAAATGTTGCAGATGCACCTAAGGTTCTCCTGCAACAATTTCTAAGGAACAACAGTGTCCCCAACATCAAAAACAACAACAGCAAATATTTACCAAATGCTTGTAATATAGATAGGTACTATATTAAACACTGGTGCACATATTCTCTCATGTTCATCCTTTTAACAACCCTGCAAGGTAGGTACTGTTATCATCAGCATTTTACAGATGAGGAAACGGAGGCACAGAAAAGTTAAGCCACTTGCCCAAGGTCATCAAAGCTAGCATCTGGAAGAGCTGGTATTTAAACCCAGGTAGTCTGGCTCCAGAGACTCAATCCTCCAATATTTATGCCAAAGCAGTTATGTTAACAACCAATATTTCAGCCACTCAAAAGCCTCTGACAAACATAGTGACACATCTGGAAGACTATTACAACCACAGTGTGGCCACCACCTCTTGGGACCCTGCCTATAAACACTGCTCGCTGGGGTCACACAACTCTCCAACCTCTGGAATGCTTGTGGCAGGAGAAGCAACCTCCTCACACCTTGGAAAGGCATTATGTACCCAGAAAAATCATGGTCCCATAAAGAAGACACAAAGGCTGACTCCCCAAAGTATCTCTTACCTTGTTCATGCTGCAGGGACTGGAGCAAGGGCTCAGACATGTCACAGTGCGAGGCAGCTCTTGAAGATTCTCCTCGTTGCTGTAGTCCTCACTTCCTGAAGCAGACAGCTGCACTGCAAACACAAAGAGGAAATCCATCAGCTGGCGCTCAGGAAGACACAGAGCAGTCCTGTGTCCAGTGGAACTTTCTGCCATGATGGCAATGCTCCATGCCTGTGCTGTTCAATATGGTAGCTCCTAGGCACATATGGCTACTGATCACTTGAGATGTGGCTAGTGCAATTAAGGGCTGAATTTTAAATTTTATGTAATTTTAATTAAATTTAAATGTAAATAGCCACATGTGGTTAGTTACTGGACAGTCCAGGTCTAGAGATTCAAATCAGAAATCTTTTTTTTTTTTAAGATTTTATTTATTTATTTGACAGAGGGAGACACAGTGAGAGAGGGAACACAAGCAGGGGGAGTGGGAGAGGGAGAAGCAGGCTTCCTGCTGAGCAGGGAGCCCGATGTGGGGCTCGATCCCAGGACCCTGGGATCATGACCTGAGCTGAAGGCAGTTGCTTAACGACTGAGCCACCCAGGTGCCCCCTCAAATCAGAAGTCTTGAGATCACAGACACCAGACATGCCAATGGCCAAGGAAAAGCTGGAGATCACATACTCAGAATGACTACTGACATAGCAGAACAAGAACATTCATTCAGTAACTATTTCCTCAGTCCTTACTAAGTACAGGGTACTGAGGACATAGTGATCAATAAGCCAGACAGGTCAGTTATTTAAAAGTTTCCTGCTCAGGCTTTGGCCTCCTTGGGAAGGGAGAGGATCTAGCATGTAAGCAGTACTTACTCTGTGCCGATCTCAATGCCTTCCCTGCCACCTACAAGGTAGAGACAGGCATTTGCTGAAGACTGACTACACCACTGTCAGGGCTTAATAGATAGGACCTTCCATAGAGCTCCAACCAGAACAGAATTCAGGAGGTCAGTTTTCCATGAGCCAAATGAACCAGATGACTCAACATCCCCTCAGATGGATTATTTAGGGAGGCTTTTTGATTTACTCGAATGGTATTTTGGAGTAAAATGGCTCCAGAGTTCTTGATGTGTCAAATATTAAAGAAAAGTAAAGAAAGAAAATATCTTCAACCACTTAATTAGATTTATAGTCTTTTCTCTGAAAGATGTTTATGGGTGAATTTGAGAGGAGAACCAAACATTGTAAGGTTCCTTGTAATCACCTTTTTTTCTGTGTTACTTTTTCTGGTTGCATCTAGGAAGGATTTTTATATCTGAACCTTTCCATAAAGACTGGAATTACAGGTTTAAATGGAACGACAGTGCTTTAAAATACATATTCTTTTTTTTTTTTAAAGATTTTATTTATTTATTTATTTGAAAGAGAGAGAATGAGAGATAGAGAGCACGAGAGGGAAGAGGGTCACAGGGAGAAGCAGGGCTCCTGCTGAGCAGGGAGCCCGATGTGGGACTCGATCCCGGGACTCCAGGATCATGACCTGAGCTGAAGGCAGTCGCTTCACCAACTGAGCCACCCAGGCGCCCTAAAATACATATTCTTTTTAATAATAATATAATAATGATACAGAAAATGTTCAATAGGAAAAGAAAAAAGTAGCCATAATCCCACTAATCATAATCACCTTTAGTTCTTAGCACTCAGGCTTTGGCTAGGGGGGAATGACCAGAGGTGCTGGCATGTCTGCCGAATCGAGAACACAGAGAAGTCCAAGGCTATATTCCCCATATTAACGTCTTTCACCATTAAGAAAATGACTTTGTAATTTATATTTTCAAAAGATAAACTCCTACTCCATGCACATTACTATTTTGTGAACATAATATTATTAAATTCCTTGTACAAATCAGAAGATAGGGAGAGGAAATTGCAGATCACTCCCTGGTTATTTGAGACACATAGATTCCAAAGAAAATACCACATTCAGTCATAGCAATAACATATTTTAAGAATGATGTACAGCATGGAGAGACCCCGGAATTCTGACTTTGAAGCCCAAATACATCCAAATACCCCTCAATACCTGATGTACTCAATGTCTTGTATGCCTGGGTAATCTACTGCTGCTTCAAAGTCAAGAAAATTCAGTATCTAATTCTAACCAATCTTATAATGACTGAATGAAAATTATGCATGTAACTTCTACTCTTTGAATTCCAGAAGCAGATGCTAATACATTTCTGTTTCAAAGTAGAACACTATACGTGCTGTTTCCTATTGAATATATGTAATTCAATCCACTTAAAGCCTACAGCCCAGTACCTTACCTGGAAACTTATCCAAATGCCTTGCATAGATGCCTGATGTCACAATTCCATTAAAATGTACACACTGGTATCAACACAGGAAAGGTGGGCACAAGAAGATAATAATAAACACACAAGGATTCTTGAACATAATTTCCCCAAGGAAATTCCACCCAGCTCCAATCATGACACAGTCCCCATTCCCTCAGAACTTGGGGCATACAGTCAGCCCTAAAGTCATTATGGAGCCTCCCCTGTGCCCCCCACCACCCCAAGTACTCTTACGTTATTTTCACATATGTTGGTTCTACGACAAAGTCAAAATAAAAACTCTTTGAGGGAAATATTAGTCACATAGAAAGTTCTTAATAAATACTGTCAAGTCGATTTTTTTTCTTTGCTCTCACAGAGCCTAGGATGATGTGGACTCTTAACATACAATCTTCAACACAATATTGATAATCATTGCAAACTGCCTTTGGGGTTTTTTAAAAAAGGAAAATCTTGGGCGCCTGGGTGGCTCAGATGGTTAAGCGTCTGCCTTTGGCTCAGGTCATGATCCCAGGGTCCTGGGATCGAGTCCCGCATCGGGCTCCCTGCTCCTTGGGAGCCTGCTTCTCCCTCTGCCTCTCTCTCTCTCTCTGTCTCTCATGAATAAATAAAATCCTTAAAAAAAAATTTAAAAAAGATTTATTAAAAAAAAAGGAAAATCTTTTAATATCCAGGATTGTAAATCTTTTAGAAAAATATTGTCAAGACTATCTTACAGCTGTACAGTGCTCAAAACTGTACAACACGCTTTTATAGTAATACTCTCAGGGTCACCTGGGTGGCTCAGTCGGTTAAGCGACTGCCTTCGGCTCAGGTCACGATCCTGGAGTCCCGGGATCGAGTCCCGCATCAGGCTCCCTGCTCGGCGGGGAGTCTGCTTCTCCCTCTGACCCTCCCGCCTCTCGTGCTCTCTCTCTCTCAAATAAATAAATCAATCTTAAAAAAAAAAATACTCTCAGTTAGTACTGATACGGATCTGAGTGGTAGTTTTTTAAATCAGGAAACCAGATTGAAAGAAGTAAAAGAATGCTTCTTAGTCATGCTGTCATAGGCAACAGACCCTGGGCTTCAGGTGGCTTCATTTCAAGATACAACAGAATTAAAATATGTACGAAACCTCCAAGTACAATACCTCTCCTAATAACACACACACACACATACACCATCATTAACAAAAAACACCTCCGCAAACAGATGACAGTTTTAGAAATTGGGTCAGTTCGCTTTGGCCAGCAACCAAAAACACTGGCCTTATTCTATCAAGTACTTTAAATTTCCTTTGAAACAGAGAGAACCTGGTTGTTTTACAGCCAATTCCATTTAGAAGTTTAGAGAAATCCACCGCTTAAAAAAGGAGATTACATCTTAAATATAAAGCATTAGGGGAAAAGATACATGCATTACCATGGTGGAATTAAGGGAGTTTTCTTCTTTATTCTATTTTTCAAGGTTTCTTTTTAATCATTCGCAAAGTTGGATTCCTCTGATACTAAACAAAAGGCAAGTACAGATACCTTCAAAGGGTGCCTGGAGAAAGTCAATCTCAGAAGCTAACATGTGACTTCCACTCAGTTGATCCTAACAGAGTTGGCTCAATGGGCAACAGCACCTGTGGTCAACCTTAGGCTTTGGAAAGGTTAATGAAATGTAATTCATCTTTCCAGGCGGCTAGAGGGTGAGTAAGCAGAAAAGTAGAGACAGGGCAAGAAGAAGAGATCAAAAAGAGAATGAACAGAAAAGGTGAAGGCTACAAAGAGAGAAGAAAATGAAAGGGCAGGTAAGCAAACAAAGGCACCTAGAGATAGGTTCAGTGATGCAGACAAGTGGCCCTCACCAGCCAGGTCCTCACTAACAGAAGAGACACGGATAGACTCGGGCTCCTGGTGACAACACCACACTCTACAGCTTCTCTGGGTGTCAGCAAGTGGAGCTGGAGTAAAGTTAAGACCGGGCTTACCTGTTTCTCCACTATTTATTTACCATCAGCCTCCACCTACCACAGAGGAAAATCTATTTTCCCTGGATCACTGATAATGTGCGACAGAAGTATGGTGAGAACAGCATAAGCCAACTTTAGTCTAGTCTCCTTACTCTCACGAGAGTGCTCTTTAAAGTATTTATTCTTACTCTTGACACTCTTAAACATGTCAATGGGCTGTGTGTGTGTGTGTGTGTGTGCGTGTGCGTGTGTGTGTGTGTGTGTGTGTGTGTAGTGCTATTTTTTGGCCCTTGAATATGCAACTAATACTGCCAATATAGAATGGAGTATGATGAGCTGGGCTTTTCTCCCCACTTCAACTCCCCCACCCCCTTCCAAGATGTTCATTCTAGAAGGCTTTTGTCATATAAGGCAAAGCTGTGCTGCTTAGGCACTCCTATGGGAAACAGGCCCATAGGAGCAAGCACGTCACTCATAAGGTTAATGGTCTCACTGGCTTTTAGATATAATGTACTCTGACGTCAGTCTGTGCAATGGCCTCCTGTTCCTTCCCCCACCACCAAATCCAGCAGCCTAGGTAGGTAGGGAGCTCAAGCATGAGGACCCAAGAACTTGTGAGGAAGGGTTAAGCAAAATCATAAAGAGACAGACAGGGTTTGGAGAGAAAAGGGAAAAGGCACGATGACAAAAGTCTAGAGGAAATTCTCTAAATCTAGGACTTAGGAGCTTGGGAAATCAGACAAACAGATGAGAGGTATATCCCTAATACTCTCCCACCTCTGTTTTTATGAGTTGGAATGATTTACATGTCTCTGGAGTAAAATCTTAACAACCTTCAA